TACCTGTAGTATTTCATTGAAAAAAAAAAGTGCAGTAATTATTTTTGCTTATTTTAAACTCTTAAATTACTACTTATGAGATTAAGTACAATAAATACTAGTGTTTAAAAAAACTAGTCAATTTCTACTGTTGTTAGAATCATTTGGGTGCCAAATCAAATCTTTGCTTTATACGAAATATTGTGCTGTCCCATATTCTTCCCATTTATTTGACCCTTTAAGTAACTTAATTGCAGTTCTCTCTATTTTTTCTATGTTAACTCTTGAGTCTATGCTTTCTAAAATCTATTCTCTTCTCCCAATTGCTATTTTTGAAAAAAAAAAATCCTGTATTTGTTTTGTCTATGTGTTTCCATTCACTAGAGCTATGATCTCCTAAAATTTTAATTTTTAAATGTAAACATGTTGCTTTAGCTATTGGCTTTATTTTGTTCTTTCTCTAAAAGAAACTTTAAAGAAATTTAAAGAATTTTTAAAGAATTAAAGACATTTTTCATTTTCGGCATTTCCTTCATCTTCCTAAATTAATTCTTCCTTGCGATACCTTGGAGCCAGTCTCACAGTCTCTAGTATGGATTTTTCAGTTCACTTTCTGAAAGATAGAAATTTTCCCACCATTTTCATATCTGTGTGTTCTTTCTCTGTCCTTTCTGCACCAAGAGAATATATTCCTCTCTCTACCTGTCTCATCAGCCATCCTGTCCATCCTGCATGAAATAGCATTGCTTGCTTGATTCACAACTTTCTTCTTAAAACAAATTCTATCACCTATTATTTCATCCTTGTGCTAGCTTAAACTTCCCCTCTGCTTAGTTTTTTTGTATGTGTGTGCTGAAGATGGATGGGAAGGAATCCTTACCAATGTATTGCTCAGAGAAGCTTTAAAACATTCCTCACAGAATTGCCAAGACACATAAGGCAGGGATCTAACTTCACAGTTTTTATTCCCTCAGGTTTGAATCATAGCAGAAAGCCATAAAAGAGACATGATAATTCTAAGGTCTATGCTAATAAGACATTGAGGAGTGAGCACAAAACCAATTGCAGGGCAAGGGTTGTCTGAACTACAAACCCCAACCATACCCCTTTATCTCCCCCAGATATCTTTACCAAAATAAACTACACGGCTCTCACTACTAGGCATAAGGATTTATAAAATCTTCCCCCACCACATCACTGAATTTTGGATCTGGAAAGGACATTAAAAATTGTCTAATTATTAACAATGGACCCAAATAGAGGATGGCATCTTCCTTTCTCAACTGTAGTTTCCTTTCTTTCCCTCCATTTCTTTTGATAAAGTTCGCTCCTCCACTAAAATATAACAAAGGCATAATAGCCAATATGCAGCATTTCTCATCTTCCCATTTCCAAATGCCTAACTGGTTTAATAATTCACTTCATCTCAGTGCCTTAAAAATGAATCCTTTATCTTTGAATCCATCTATAAAACTGTTCTTTTTCTCCTCCTACTTGCTAAATGAACTTCATTTATCACTCATTTTATGGACCTTATCTACTCTAGGAGAAATTTGATCAAATAACCTGGTCCTTAAGAAAGCACAGCAAGATTGCTAGGGGGGGGCTTCAATTGTTTGAGAACTTCTCTTTGCTCTGAAAATTTTAGGACGGCTATAGAATGTCTCCAGGGTCTCTTGAATTTTTGATGGTTCAGGAAATGATTACCTTGGCCTTAGAGTTTGAGGAGGCCTTTGTAGAACATGCTCGCTGGATCTGATCCTTAGAATGATTTGAAGATGAGCTTAATCCCTACTCAGAGACTGCACATTCCAGGTTTAATGTTGTGATATAATATGACAGATTTATACATTATTCTGACATAATGAAATGCAAAGGATGAAGTGTTTTATTTACACAGTAACTCTTATTTCAACATTCACTAGCTGTTGTATAGGCTTTCTTGGCTCTATCAAAAAGACCTCAAGTATCCTGGGGAGCCTTGCAGAGCAGCCTCCCAGTTTAGAAAGACAAAAGCACTAGGCCATGAAGTCAGGAAGAAAGAAAATAATATAAACAAAGAAAGAAACAAAACCAAAAACCAGGAGACCCTAGCAACATCCAGTCCCCAAAGGCATGTCTGCTACCTAGGTGTTCTTTCTTCTGACTAGATACAGGAGCCACAAAGCAAATATTTGTTGAATGAATTTCTTCCTGGGTTCAGCATTCACTCAACAAACTGTTCATCATTCATTGGATAAATGTTGTTTTTCTCCATCAAGCATAAGGAACTGTATGTATACAAACACAAAAGGAATACAGTTTGACATTCAAGAGAAAGTAATTTTGTGAAGAAACCAGACAAAAAATCAATTCAATGTAGTGAGTCCTCTAGCAGGAGAACTTCCAGATAATAGGGAGAGGGACAGAGAGAAGAGACTAACCCAACTAATATTGGGATAGCTGAAGAAAATTTTAGAGATTCATTTTAAATGCAAATCATTTTGGTGTCATGAACCTGAAATTGAACCTGTCAAAAGAGCTTGGTCGACTCCCAAGGTAGAAAAGATGGGAAAAGCTTATTGCATTCTCTTCGAGCAAGCACTCAAGCTATTATAATGGAGGGTACCAGAGTCCCTGGCCAAAACTCTTCAGGAAATTTGAAAAACATGAGTGCAATTGAGAGATATTGGTTGAATCACTGTCTTGAGAGTACCACCAGGACTAGGCACATGGGTAACAGGAGACACCCTAGATCATGATGTATTAATAGAACAAAGTACATTCTCCAGGGTGGGTTTTCTGGTGAATTTAGGTAGAAGCAAGTAGATGCAAAAACAAAGCTAAACAAAAACACTGCATCACTACCATGGGCAGAGGGGGAAGTAGAAACCAAGGAGAGCTCCAAGGTTGGTCATTTTCCCTTGATCGTTTTTTTTTTTTTTTAAACTACTAGCTAGGGATCTGGATGCTGCTGATGCGGAATGAATATCAAGAGCTCTCTGCAGCCCAATAAAACCACTGCTCCCTCCTGGGATAGTAAGAAGCAAAACTGAGACTAGCTTTTCTGGTCCAGGTATGCAACTTCCTCCTGTGCATGTGCTCATCAGGACTATTCACTGTCATTTCAGTGTGTGGAAACTGTGTGAAAAATCGTTCATGGGAGAGCAAAACATTAATTAAGCCAGGGCCTTCCCACTGATCTAGTTTTATTTTTCATTTTGATGAAGGTTCTGACTAAGTCACTGTTACCCAGGCTGTGCTCAGTTTCAAACCTCTTCCCTCAGCCTTGCAGAGAACTGAGATTACAGGTGCATGCCACAATACCTGGCTTTCCCCTATCATTAGAGAAGAAAAGTAAATGTTGAGAGTCACTTTATATAATTGTGGGGAAAAATCATTTCATAATTAAATTATGATCAGGACTGTCTAAGGCCCAATGTCTTCTTGCCTGGGAACTAGCTATGGCATAGGGAAACATACCTCCATTTTGCCTCCAGTCAGAAGTTGAGGCCTCAATGGTACCATGATACTGGGACGGTCAAGGGCAAGATTAAATCAGCTGGAGTAGAAGACATCCTGGAGTAGTAATTAGAAAAAGGAAAAAGTTTTCACCTGGGGAAAGGCCAGATTCCTTACTTGGCTGCTATCTCATCACACCTACTATTGTGAGAATGTTTTGCTCATCTCACAGTCCTCCTCAACCTAAGATCCTCATCAACCTAAGATCTTCATCAGCCTAATATCCGCATCAACATAGGGTTACCACTGCCCTCTAAGTCACCTGATACTTCCTCTGATTATTGTGTGCACTCAATAAATAGTGGCTAGCTCAGAGTATCTTTATCTTTGCCCACTCTGAGGCACTGAACTTCCAGCCCCCCATATATTATGAAACTATGTTTCTATTGTTTTTCTTTCTTTACCCCTCTCCACCCCCCTTTCTAGACAGATTGGAGTATTTATTGGCCTCCGATAAGTAGACTTCATTTACAGTAAAGTCTTGCTACTCACAGTAAAGCTAAAGCATCCTCCACATTAGCATCACCTGAAGTATGTTAGAAATGCAGAATCTCAGGGCCCAACCTACTGCCTTACAGCTGCCTTGTGACAAGATCTTTAGGTGATCTGTATGCAGGCTGAGGTTTTAGAAGCCTTCTTTACACCAGTGGTGACTGAGCATTGAGATCACTGGGGGAGTTTTAAAAAAATGATCCCACTCCTCAGAATTCTGCTTCAAATACTCACACTCCCTAAGTGATTTCAAATGTGCAGCCAACAGAGTAAAGCACTTGGAAGCCTATTCCCTATGTCTATGAGAACCTCTGAAATAGCAGGAGAGCTGGGTGCTACTGATGCAGAATGCATACCAAGAACTCCCGGCAGCCCAATAAAACCACCTCTCCCTCTTGCGACAGTCAGGACTAGAACCAAGACTAGCTTCTCAGTCCAGGTATGCAACTTCCTCCTGTGCATGTGCTCCCCAGGACTATTACTATCATTTCAGTGTGTGGAAGCTGTGTGCAAATCTTTCATAGGAGAGCAAAACATTAAGCCTAGAATGTTTTATGCCTCCTTGTTGAGTTCATCCTCTGACATATTATTTGCAATTACAATAGGGTCCTTAGGGTGTAGAAGGTAGTAGAGAGAGAAAAACGTCAAGGCCCTCAAATTGGAAAAATGAACAAACCAAAAACAGAGAAAAGTTACCCAAGGAAAGCAGCACCCAGCAAATCCCTGCCATGAGTCAGCAACAGGGAGGCCCAGCCCCTTCCAGGGGAGCCTGGTTAGGGATCAGACTCTGCAGTTGGGCTGGGCTGGGCTGCTGCTTCTCCCAAGACCAAGTCTTAATAGCAACTTCCCTTCCTCGTCTGCCTACACTTTTTTTTTTTCTGTGACTGGAAAGAAGTGTCACCTTTTGCTCATTTTCAAGCCTTCTCCCCCACCCCTCCAGACAACGTGTGTAGAGAGCAGGGGCTGCTGTGAGCCACCTCCTCGGGTGACTGCTGTGAGTAACTTTCAGCTCCTCTCTTTGTAAAGCCATGAACTTCCTTGAAAAGCCCAGGAGTCGGACAGCTGCTTTTCTGCCTCTTTGCTGGCTCCTTTTGAAGATTCTGCAACCAGGGCACAGCCACAGTTATGACAACCGCTATGCTGGGTAAGTGGAGCCACTTTCATGCCCTGCACGGCTTTGATTTGGATAAGGGGGCTGGTTTGCTCCCATGCGCCTCACTTTCTGCTTCATGTTCTCTGTGTGAATCTGCACACTTTCTTGGTCCCTTATATAAAGTGTACATACAACTCTCTGTTCTTTGGTTTGGCTCACTGAGAATATGTGAAAGTCTGGCTTTTCATATTTTTTATAGTATGCCAACCTCTGCCGCGGACCCAGTGTTGAATGAGATTCTGTCTGTAGGAAAGCTGTGGCCAGTACGCAGTATTTGCCTTGGTTGGTGCTCAACATGAAGGATGCTGTAATACCACGTGAATTACGACCTGAAAATTAAAGCCTCTCTTTTAGAATTGCATGCAGGAACAGTGGGTTGAAATTCACCCGTGATTAATTAAAGAACTGAGTGTGACTTTTTTTTTAAATGCTTGTTAGCCTTCAAAGTGGTTGTTAGAAAGATTTTTAAATCTGAGCAGTACAAATAATTCAACTCTAAATAAGCAGAATAAAAGTAGCCAACCATAAAATTATGGTATTTTTCTGAAGGAGAAAAACAATGACTTTTCTCCCCTTTTTAAGTTAATGTGCTTTGTATATGGCTTTCTTAAGGAGGCCCAGGGATGGGTAGAAAGCAATGTATTATGATGCATGTTCTTATTATCCTGAAGGCTTGCTGTGGTATAGACAGCATGTGCTTGGCTCAGACTTGCAAGGGGCTGTTCTTTGAATCTGGAAATTATGGTATGCCTACATTTTAGAAGTGGAGAACCTTGAGTAGTTTCTGTAGTTCAGATGCTTAAAACACAGGGAGAAAACCAGTGTCCTAAGTCTTCAAAAAAAAAAACACCCTACTATCTCTCAATAATCATCAGTTGGGAAAAGTTTTCACATAAATCTAGACTATAACCTGGTGATACCCCATGTCTTAAAGAAAAGTTGTTTTCAGGAATAATGTAGAGAGGAGTTTATAAACGTGACACTAGAAAAGAGGATTGTTTACCTTCTCTCCTAAAGAAACTGGGCACTGATTTTAGTGTTTGCCCAAATACAGTGAAGACAGAGAAAATTTTAAAGCATGTCCTCAGTGTTAGAGGATGCAGGATGGGGGTAGAGGTGTTGGTAGAGGTAGGAGTTGTAGGTGGTAATACGATCCCAAATTTTTCCAACCTGGTGTTCTTGGGAGGAACAGAAGAGAGTTAACATCTGAGGGCTGCATTTTGGTCTCCTGACACACAAGGTCCAGGCTTTACTTCCTGTCATTTGTCACCTCCTTTGGAAATGTGGGTTAAGAAGCCCCTGTTTCATGAGATTGTGCAAGAGTTAATTCTGATTCTCTTGGCTGACATGAGGCCTTACAAGAAACATGTATCACAGAGTTAGATGTGCTCCTGTGACATAGGACCTCACTCCTACGCTCAGCTGCAGCCTTGTCCATAATTATTTCAGCGTGTGGTGCCCCTTGGTGATAAGTTACTAGGCCCACTTCAGCTAAGCAGGTGTGCACCTTCCCTAAGCACCACTTTGTAGAGGAAATGAGGCCAGTGGCAACATCTTTTCCAGATAGAATTTTTAGCAATTGGAGCCCTGCTGGAGGAGGTTCTGCTACCTTCTCTGTTGTTCTGCACTGAAAGTAATAATTGGCATTTTCTCTTTGGCTGCCACATAATAAGATAGCCCCAAATGTATAAATTACCAGATGTCAGAAAGGTGGAAGGAAAAAAATAAGATGAAACAATGAGAAGCTGAAGAATTGAGCCTTACCTGACCATCATAATGGAAGGCTAGAGCCTCTTGAAAACCAGAAATATTTGAGTAATATTTGAGTGTATGCACCATTAAAAGAATGACTTCATTGTACTTTTATGAAATGTATGTCATTCTTTCATTACCAAAGACAGAAATGCTAGTCACAATTGGAAGTATTTTGCTTTGTTTACTTAGGAAACTACTTTAGCTTTTTAAGGGACAAAAATGTGATGGAAAGACATGGTGGAATGGTATTTAGCATTATCTTTGACTGGCTGTGCCCATTCAAAATTATTCTAACCCACTTCATTTGTATCCCTTAATAAGTTTTCTTTCATTTTTCATGTTAATAATTATGAGACAACCCTATTTCTTACATTCATGTAAATATATTTGGTAGTCTTGATTGAATTCAATAATATGTAATTATCATTTGCAGGACCCCAAACATGAATAGGAAGTAGGTCAGGAAAAACTAGCACACCTCCTGAGAGCACTTAATGAGCTCAGTCCTCTTTGAACATGAAGTAGTAACAACTGGAGATGGCAAACCCTATAATAGATGCTTAGTAAAAGACAAATTTAAGTGCCTCTGGAAGCAAAACAAAAAATGTGTAGAAAGATGTCAGAGAAAATTGATGATTTTCTATATTAAAATATAACTATATTAAGTTATACATTTACATTAGTGGTCTAAAATACATAGAAAAGAAATAAAACAAAGTGAGGAAAATAATTTGACTTTAAGTATCATTATGGTACTGATACTTCACTATTGGAGGGCTTTAGAGACTACAAATGCCAAGTTAAATTTTGGGTGAGAAACAAAAGGCAGTGAATGTGTGAGCTCCCTACACAAGCAAACATCACTCTGTGTGCCCTTCTTTGGCCCTCATCTCATTTTCTGCTTTCAAGAAAATTGAATATACTATGATATTGAGGACAAGAAAAAAAAAGAGATTTCCATCACAGGAAATTAGGGTAGATTTTTTTTTCAGTTACAGTAAAAGGTATCTAAGGTGGTAAAACAATAAATGCTGGGAATACTATAGAATGAGCATGGCTATGATTTTTTTTTTTTTTTTGTACCAGGGATTGAACTCGGGACATTGCACTTGTGAGGCAGGCAGCAGAACCACTGAGCTAAATCCCAGGCCCATGGCTATGATTTTTGAAAATAGCTTATTACTTCTCTTCTTCATGACAGTGGGAATAGCATAAGTACTGAAGTTTAACTGCCTGGATTTCAGTTCCTACTTTTCCACACTTAGTAGCTTTGTTACCTTGGGCAAATTCCTTAATGTGTTCCCACTATCTTGAACCACTAGTGGTACATGTATGACTGTCCCAAAGGGTATCTGGTACCCACCGAATGGGACTGTCTGATGCCGCCCAGTAACACAGTCATGTACCGCCAGTGGTTCAGTGCTGCTCAGCAGCGAGACATTCAAATTATGGCCCAACTCAAATGTATTCACCCCTCTGAGCTTCAGTCTCCTTATCTCAGACGATGGAGGTAAATCTAGAACCTCCCTACCAAGTTGTTGTAAAAATTAAAATGAGCATGGATATAGCATGGCCCTTGGCACTTAGCAAGTACTTCATAGCTAATACTTAACAATATTTTTATAAACATTTATAAAAATATTAATAGTTCTCACCATAACCTTGTGCCATTGTTATCCCCATTTGAAAGATAAGCTAAATAAAGTACAACTCTATAGCTCAAATTCAGATTTAACTAACCCAAGGTCACTGCAACGACACAGCTGGAATTCTCACCCACCTCTGCCTGACTCCATAAACTCCTTCATAATCTGTAACTCATATAGAAAAGAATTGAATTTAGAAAAAAACTGAAAGCTTAATCTTGTTTTGGAATGACAATTTCAGAACAATAAAGAGACGAGGTAGGTGAAATTAGAAATTTAATCTTGGTCATCTTCTCTAGGGTGATGATGAGTTACTGATGATGAATCATTGTTAAGAAAAGTTAGCAGAACCTAGAGGGATAGAAAACAGAAGACAAAGAAACTTTACATTGTCATATACACACATATAAAAAAGTAGCACCAAAAGTCACCATGAACGTGTGCCTTCATTCATCCAAGAACTACTTTTGAAGGCCCTTTGTGTGCCAAGGACATTGATCCACAAAGTCAATGACCTCTGAAAGTTGCAGTTTAGTAAAGAAAATGGCTCATACGTAAAATGAGTGTACACTGTATACATGATATACAGGGTGAGCAGACTCTTATGAGGATTGACAAACATACTCAATGTACCCAGACAGAGGGGTAGAAATCCCCTCTAAAGCCAGGCCGGTTCTGATCTCCCATCCCTGCTGTAGTTTGGTGGAAGACGCTGAAGGAAGTGGAACTACCACATTGGCTGTTTCTTGGGACTTGACCCTATTGGTTTTGAGTCTGCTTGACAAAGACCTATAGGACTTTTCCTTCTTTGTTGCAGCCCTGCATTTATTGAAGTCACTTCCCATGTCTCAGTGCAGTTTCTTTCCCTTTTCTTCTTCCTCAGGGAAGTAGCTCTGATGAGGCAGTTCTTTCCCCCTCGGCTGTGGGTATGTACAGGACTGTATAGCCAGCTGGTTTGCAGTTTTGGGTTTTTTTCTGTTTTTGTGGTATTGACAGATCAAACCCAGGAGCACTCTACCACTCTACAACATCTCCAGCACCCACTTCTTTGGAGACAGGATCTAAGTTTTCCCTGAGGGACTGAATTTGGAATCCTCCTACCTCAGCCTCCCTAAATGCTGGTGCTTTCTGAGGAATCAGTGTCTATGTTGCCCCTCCAAAAACATATATCTCCACCCACAGGGATTTGTCAACAAATTTACTAGTCACCTACAGAAATAAGATATGGGGATTCAAAGAAGTAGACTTGAAGAAAGTAACCCTTTTTAACAAAGTAGTTTGGCCCTCAAAAATCCTGTAAGCAAAGTGGCCCCAAGTTGGAATGTGACATATTGAAGAAAAGTGGACAGTGAGAAATACAGTCAAGTCACGTAGTACAGCAAATTCAACCTCAGAGACATCATTCTTGTTTTCCATCTTATCTCTCTGGCTGTTTTGTCTCTGCCTCTCAACCTCCCAACAGATTTTAATTCTGTTATCGCCTTTGAATTCCCTAAACTTTAGAAACCTAGGGCTACAGTACAAGAGACCAGAGCTGGTCATATGAATCTGAGCTTTTTCTTCTATGTTGGTAGTTAAGCTCTTTTCAGA